ATTTAAGTCAAACCTAGATGTCTAACTTCACAGTATGATTAATGGAGATAAATAGTTGCTTCCAGAAGCAATTCACCCAATACCAAGATGGTAATCTAAGATAGCTGGAGTAACGTGAACACCTGGAGGTAGTGTCTTCTCTGCACTGACTATAAAAGATACTCAGACATGTTAGAGTTAGTTGTTCAAGGATGAGCTAGATCTCTAAAGACAGCTGAGGTTCACTTCCCACAAGCAGTCTGTGTATCCTCCTGATGTTTTGGTCAGCATCCTTTAATAAGAATCTGTCCTGAGACAATTTCATCAAGAATGGTTTTCTCTGAACCTGACTGCAGATAAATCTTATGTCAAATTACAGCTGAAGCAATCACATAATACTCCTTACCCTGATGAAAATTAATACTCTTTGTCTAAATACTGGTATGGAATAAAAACACCCATGCTGCCATAGGAGGTGAGATCAAACACCTGCTTAGCCCAGCACCCTCTCCCTGGCAGTGGCCGCTAGCAGGTACCCAGGGAAGAGAACAAAAAGAGACTGAGCTTCCAGTGACTCTTGCCCGAAATATTCTGCTCGTTTCCTGTTGCGGGTATCTCTGAATTTTATAACCTTAAGTGGATTTGTCTTCCTTGTGTTTGTGCAATAGTATTAAGTACATCCGATACTATTAGAATAATATAATGAAATCAAATTTGTTTGCAGTAGCTTGCTTTTTTATGTTCTTTAAATCTAGTAGGGATTTTTTGTGAAAATGGATTTTGTTCGGGTTTAAGTATATCTTTTTCTGTGTGGCATGCTCCAGGCAAAGGATGTTGATCTTGGTTCTGATGTTAACTACCGAATACGGACACAGGAAGCGCTACAGTATTTTGCACTGAACAAGTATACAGGCGAGTTATCGCTTTTGAAGTCCTTGGATTATGAGTCATTCTCTGACACAGAAGCAACCTTCACCTTCCTTGTGGAAGCCTTCGATAGCAAGGGCACCATGCCTCCTGGTCTCGCTACCGTCACAGTGAAAGTAAAGGTAAGAGGAGTAACTTGCGAGATGATAGCATTCTCTCATGTTACAAAATACCTCCTCGACCCTTAGAGGTGTCCTGGTGGAACACCCAGAGCATGCTAGCAATATGTCTGCTTTCCTGCTTTTTTGCTTGTATGAAACTACTGCCCTTTTCTGACAGTAACTTGTTCAGTTAAACATACACTTTATAACAGCTATAATTACTTTGCTGTATGCAATTACATAGTTAGAACTTGGATCATAGATTTATGTACTTACAAGAATACCTGAGACATATATGAATATCTAGTCCTTTAGAATCCCTGAAAGGTTGAAATAAGTACGTAATGGAATTGTTTGCAAAAATGACAGCATCAGTTTCAGTTAAAGCTCTCATAAATTGTAATTTTATGAACCATTTGGGTGTATTGAGTGCTGACGTGCCACACCACATCCTATGTTTCAGATTCTGCTGCTTGAAAATACAGAGCTGCAAAGGAACAGGCTTATTTGGTGGTCTTGCACAATGAATAGGTTTTATTCAGTGAATTACAGCGTCACCTCTGGGTTTCAGTTATCTCACCAGTACTATGGGGATAATGGTATTCTGTTTGGTAACGATCCACAAATGAAAAGCATTTGTAACTGAAACATTAGCACTTACCCATCGTAATTTGGTTGATGTACTCGTGTCCAAGAAGAGAGGATATTATAGATGCTCTAAATCATGCCTCCTTGCATTTACAAAGGTGCAATTCTGGAGCCAGTCAGTCGAGTCCTTTTGCACAGTTGCTTCGTTTTTGTTGACTTTGTTGGTGAAGAACTGTGAGCTGTGGGAGAGAATTTAATTACTTGTATTTCAGCTAAGAAGCAAAAATTGTAGCAGGAACAAAAGCGTAGCTCACAAACGTGAACTTCATATCTGGCAACTTCAGTTTAAATGTGAGTCTGCAGAAAGTACTTAGCAAATATGAATCAGTCTTGGGTTCAGCTTACTGTGTATCTGCAGATGCCATGAATTGCCACATGATTTTGAGTAATTGTGTTTGTCAGTCTCTACTGAGCTCAGAATTATTTTAGGGACACTAAATGTCTGAGATTATTAGCTTTGATGGAAAAGTAAGAAGGCTTCTATAATACTGCTCTGTCTCTGCAGAATTTCTCAGACTGAGATGCAGGTCACCTGTTTCCTAGTAGTCTGTGCTCTTCCCTGGCAGTTTCCAAGTCAAAGAAAAACATCGGTTTTGACATCATTCCCCGAGCCTGTTCTGCTTTACTCCTAAGGAGGAAGTTGCTTAAACCTTTTGTTTTGGGTTTTTTTTTCCTAAAAGAAACTTCTTCCCAGCACAGTGAATTTTTGAAAGAATTAAGTGTTTGGGTTTGAGTGGTTTTGTTGGCTTTTTTTAAAGGTACTTGTTTTCAAATAGGAATGTATTCAGAGAAAAGCTGTAGTCTGCGTCACAGGGCTGACCCAGCTGTGTGATTGTGCATTTGTATTGTATTCATTAATGAGAGGGTACAGGGGAGCAGGAGAGTTCAACTTGGTGGCCTTTGTGTAACAGCAGCTTGTGCACTGTCAAAGAAGGTGGTGTGGGAATAGGGAACTTAAGAAAGGGATTAGTACGATCAAAAAACAGGTTTCTTGTTTTCCTGGAAACTCTTCCCACACATGAGCAATAAAAGGGGAGCATGATGATTGTTGTTTGGAAAGGCAGTATGTGAGAGGCTAGAATACTGGAACCAGGAGTAACAGTTTCTGCAGTCAAAGGTGTGAGGCTGGGGACAGAACAGGGCCTGAAAGCCAGCACAAGCAGCTTGTATTTTAAATGAGAAAGAAAATAAATCAGAGAAATTATTAACTGAGTATTGTCATACCTAGTGACAGGCTGACTTTTGCAACCGATCAGTGGACATAATTAAGTATTATATATATTACTGAGATTAAGATGGTGCTTAGGTTCCAGACTTGAGTGACAGGTAAAGCAGTAGGGTTTTGACTGGCAGTTGAGAGAATGGGGGAGGGCTTGTGGAAAAAACATTTGTAACGCCTCATTTTGTTGGGCAGATGTCATTAATGGGTTTAATTTGCACTTATAGATGAACATTCCAGACATAAAATGTATGCAGGGGCAAGACTGAGATTGAAATCAGAGCCTTGTGCTACCCCTGTGTGAGATGAGAAGGATCCACAAGAGGACACCTTGAATGCTTGATTGAAGAGACAGAGCAGCAGGAGAGGGGTGCAGAGTCTTGGAAACCAAGTGAGAACATGAAGAGCAGGCCTTGGCTGTGAAAAGAAACACAGAAGTAAAAAGTGTGTTGCAATGTAGTTCATGTTTGTTCTTAGTGGAGGAGACTCATATTATCCCTTGCTCTGAAGGGGCAGAGCTGATGTGCCTTCACTGGGGGTGGAGGGTCCTGGTCAGTGCAGAGAGGGCAGGGCACTGCAGTTCCCTTGAGGACAGAGGCAGTGTACGCCTTGTACAGGGCTGGTGTCAGCACATCCTGGTAAGCTGACAGAGTGAACTGGTTTCTGTCCAGCAGCTCAGTAAGGATGTTTACAGGGCACCAAATCTGGCCCTAGGTCTTGAATGCATGATGGCATGTGATGTGTTACGTAGTAGTCTAGAGCCTCGTGCACAGTTGCCTGATTGCAATCAAGCTTTTATTCCTCTGCAATGTTAAGCACGGTCCGAGCTGCTGCTTTAGGGCATCTTAGCTAAGTAGAGAACTCCTGATGGTCATGTTCACTGTTTCAGTGGAGTCATTGATAATTTTTTTGTTGACCAATTAAGATGTCTGCAGAGGGAATTGAAGGGGTTCTAAAACCCCTGATTTCTGCCAGACCATCTGCCAAATTCGAGCCTGTGTTGAGGGACAGGGTGCTCCTGCATGGGGACAGACACCTTGCTGCCATGGCTCTGGGGGAGTTGTTCCCTCCTGCTCAGCCTGTCTTTTGCTCCTTCTCTGGGACCAGGAACTGGATGTGTCTGTTTCCTCTCAGTAGTAAATGTGCTTTCATTTTATTTAGAAGATAGTATTAGATTAATTATTTTACTTAGTGTTTGTGACCTCAAATAGGAAATAAACCAAGTGCATGTACACCATAGGCCCCAACATAATAGTTGTGCAGATTGGAGTCTTCCATAACACAGCATTGAACTAGAGAAAACCAGAAACGAGCAGTAAGTCAATAGTGAGTCCAAGCAGGGAATTTGTGTAACCATTAAGGATTCAGTCTTTATAATCCCCAGAGCATTATTTGTGTTACTGAGGTCTCCAAGTCCTTTTGGGCTTATGCTGCTCTGTTAACATTTGTCACTTTTCACAGTCCAGCTCTTAACCGAAAGCATTGTAATTTTTACGGTGTAACTGGCTGTTAACCAATTATGGACAACATCTGATGGTGTCAAATATCGTTTATGTGATACAAAAACTGAACAAGCAGCAGTGCAGTATAGCATAATCACACTGATCTTTGTGGCTAGGAGGAGAGTGGATAGACACAATGATTTGCTTTTAATCTCTTGCTTTCAGCCTCTGGCGTGACAAGTTACAGTCTGTATTAACCTTCCCTGAACTTGATCAAAACACAGATTGCATAGCAGAATACTCCATGTGGAAAAAAAAAAAACCCTTAATCTGTTACCTGCATGTCAGTATTGAAATACATTATTGGCCTCTACTGCAGCCAAATGGCCCTTTACATTGTATAGATGTGTTATGACTCTTTTGTTGAAGAAAGCCAAAGGTAAATTAATTAATTGTTGCATCCTTTGTAGTATTACTGAGGAGGAATAGTATAAGTGGCATTGATTTCTTCTTGCCAGAAAGATACAAACCACCTCAGACTGAGATTTTTCTTTTTTCCCCCTAGTTCTCAGATTCCTCTCTCTGCTTTCAGAACTTTTCACCTTAACCTGAGAGTATTAGTGAGTCATCTTGTCTTGGGATAGTATGGGAGATTGCACAAGTGTTCAGCCAGAATAAGCGATGATTGTAATCTGATCTATAATGAAGAACACAAAACTTTCTATTTTATCTGGGTTTTTTAAAATATATATCTGATTATACAGGTTAGGCATATCAAATTTTATCTGTCTTGAAAATGTAGTTTAAGGGATAAAAACATTAGCAACTCCAAGAAACAATTTGCATGGTATTTTTCAGTGGTTTGCCATGGTCAAGGCATGATTTCTCTCACTGTTAGAACAGCAGAGATTTGCATTCACTTGATGTCTGAGAGGGCTGAATTGTTTGCTGAGAGTGCCTGTAATGTGTACTGCAGTATGCACAAGCATCCCCTCGCAATATAAATGTTTCCCAGTATTGGAAGAAGCAAAATCATTACTGTTCAAATGGTGTGCTTATTATTAGGATTTAGCATTTGGAAACAATTACTATGGTAACAGAAACAAGACTAACCTTTTTCCAGTTTAAATTGCTGTTAAATGTGTGATGTATTCTTATATACATATTATAAGAATTTCTGTATCACGGGGCCTGTAAGGTACTTGCATATTTTTTGCTGTGTCCTCCTCTTACTATTATTACCAGCATTATTTTTTTATTACTTCACCTCTCTTTCTTGCTTGTTATAATTGCTTTTTCTCCTCTTTCTGTGTTCTGGGATTGGTTTTCTTTTTAGTTTTTCAAGTAGAGTATGTAGCGTAATGAAGCCATTATCTCTGGCTGATGATTCAAAGTGATAGAGCAACAAGAATGAATAAAAAAGATCTGTATCTAGCAGTGCCATATTATGAGACTGCCAGCCAAATATTTCATGTAATTCCTAGCATACCTTAATCGCAGTTAACTGTTATAAATATATAATTAATTTTCGTATTTAATAAAACTGACTGTACCCATGAACATCAATAAACATATTGCTATCATCAGAGAATACACAAACTGCAACCGTCAAACTAGTTTTTCAAGAGAAGTATGCCATTGAGAAGTTAGAAGTCATCTTATACTTTAGATCATGCATTATGTGCATTGATTGGTACTTATTGTGCGAGTGA